CCCTTTCACCTCATTTCTACGACTTTGCTCCGCGATCCCTTATGATTTGCAGAAGTATGTGTATTTCCTAACCTCAAACGACCACCTCTTAATTGACTTAACTGTAATATCAGTTTTCAATCTTTGCTTTCTGCTGTTTGTGCCATTTAGATTTAAAAAGCAGTTACAAAGACACTGTTGTGGGTTTTAGTGGTAGTTCTTGTTTCCTGTATCATTGCTACTATCCTGTAGCATTTCGTATGAGCAGACATGAACATTGCTGCGCCGTAGATATTTACATGTAAGATGATCAAACATTTAAAATAACTAGCTCATCTCTGCTATATAGCTATTTAAAATACTGATCAGACCTAGAAAAGCAAATTGATCAAGTGCATTAATCAAGCATTGTCACCGTGTGTTTATCTTGTAATAGTTTAAACGGCACTATAGCGATGAAAACAAAAGAAAGAACACGTGCGCAGACTTGCAACTACAATTTCATTGAGTGAAAGATGAAGAAAAGTGTAAATTTAAGGGCTCGTTTTTTTTCTTAGACTATATATTAATGAGAACTAGCAGACAATAACCCCAATAAAAGTATAGGGGTGCTATTAAAAGTAATTGTAATAATAAATGTGAAGACGGAAAAGAGGAAGAAAAGATAACTTCTCACCAGCAGTGAAAGATGACAAACGTATACAGTGAGCATAAAAAGACAACACGAGCTCATTAGTCAAAAATGGGCAAATGAATGCTTCAGTCACATTGTAGCGTCTAGATATAGCAACTCGCAGTCAGCAAGCAACACCGACGGACCGCTGACTCACTGCAGCAGTGCAGGAATCATGACATGTAGAGGTGCCTCCCGCTTATGGGCATTAGGACTGCAATGCACAGGATCTATTCGAGGCTTATGCGATCAGATAATAGGTGGATGTATCAGCGATTCGTCGGTGGTGCTTGCTGTCTGCAAGGCGCATATCTTGACGCTGTATTTGGATTGAAGCGCTGATGTCACCATCTTTGGCCAATATGCTCAATTGTGTTTTTATGTTCACTGAGCAAGACAGCGAGTTTCGGCGGCTGTTGCTGTGCGCGCGATCTACCCTCGTGTTCTGCCGGTGCTGCCTATTGATCGGGAGTTCGTGGCCAAAAAAAAAAAAAAAAAAACGTCGTTACAACCGAGTCGTCATGCGTGTGGCGTGCTGAGTTTCACAACCAACAGAATAATATAACCATCCCAATCTACCGATCGGAGCCCGAGATTTTCAGACACTTCTTCAGCTACGTCCGTGCATTCCGGTAACGCATGCAGCGCAGTCGATCAGTTGGTCCATACATTTATCAGAGTCTAAAAGAACACCCGGCGCGCACTCCAGCAGGATCATGTGGTCTGATGTCATGCACATACCTCTGGACAAGCGAAGGTTGTGCTGCTTGCCGCGTCCGGCAAGTCGTCGTCCTTGATAGGCAACCGCTCCGGTTGGATGACTGTCTCGCGGGGCTTTGGCGTCGGTGGAGGTTGGGCCTGTCCATCGCCCATGGGCTCAGCGCCAACGGTGCTAGTAGCGTGGTTGTCACTCTGGACAGTTTCTGTGCCGTCATTCAAAGCGGAAACCATCACAGTCGTTTTTTAAAAATGAATGCACTTCCGATAAAATAAATAAATAAACACTGTATATTGAGCTATCAGAAACGTTGTTGTATGTATGCGTCAGAGTTTCCAGAATAATTATGACCTCCCTGCTGTCGAGCATAAATCAATGTGCACAAGCATATCTTCTTTTTTTTCGTTACCACTTCCCTAAAAGTGCGGAAAAGTGGTCGTATCCCAACCACGTCAGCAGGCGTGTCCTTGGCAGTAGCAGAAGTGGAAAATCGTCATAAGAGACCGAGGTGATGCATACGTATAATAAACGAAGCATCCAATGCACTATAGTCGGATACAACGTGGTATTTGCTTCTCAAAGGCGCGTGCACACAAGCCCGCACAAATGGCCGCTCTGCGGACTGACGTCACGAACAGCCTTTGGTGAACTTTGCCCAGTGCATGAGCGGGACTATTTTTTTATACGCGTAAGCGATCGGCTGCCGTTCTTCGGTCGTCTGGGTGGGGCCTCTGCGGACGTCATCTGACTATAGTAAGATCACTCTACTCTCCCTCAGATAAGTTTCAACGTATTACCACGGCGTCTGGATGAAAAAGTAGGACACTCCCGACAGTCGACATGTTTATAATGTTGTGCTGCCCCTGGGCAACAAACACGTGAGAAACAAAAAGAGCGTCTGGACACATTCTGATGAAAAACTAGGTAGCTTTGCACCACAAACTGCTGCATATTATGCTCTATAAATGATTAAGCTACAGAAGCAATGTCATTTGGGTCCAAGATTCGTGCGCCTCGCCTATGTGCTTGGTGCGCATGGTTAGAAAGACAATAAAACGTTTTTTCCATTTTTTTCATTCGCTGCGCCGCAGTGATTTAGTGGCTAATGTACTCGGCAGCAGACCCGCAGGTCGTGCGATTGAATCCCGGCTGCGGCGGCTGCATTTTCGATGGAGGCAAAAATGCCGCAGGCCCGTGTGCTCAGATTTGGGTACAAGGTAAAGAACCCCAGGTGTTCGAAATTTCTGGAGCCATTCATTACGGCGTCTCTCATATTCCTATGGTAATTTTGCGACGTTAAACCCCGTATATCAATCAATAAATTCTTTTTTTTATTTTCTTTTTCTATGGTAACGGAAGCAGCTACACGAAATGCTGACACTAACTAAAGCAAGTCAACATTTCCTCTACCAAACTGATGATGTGTTAGATATTACACCACAATACACACATCATTACGCTGATTTTTGGTGAAAGTGTTGTCCGTGCTGACATTCATATGTTAGCGTTGCGACCACGAGGGATCACGGTCATTGAGTGAACTCCATTGATATGGGCCCGAGGAAGCATGACACCAACCGTGTTTTGTCACGTATATACCACACAAAAAAAGCCTACGGTCATTTATCATGATAAATTTATGATTCATAGGGCAGTTCAAAACATAATTATATTTTGTTACGCAGTTAACGCTCTTCAACTATCAAGTGAAGCTGAAATTCAGACTTGTTCATCATAAGTATTGCCGTTTTGTTTTAGTTTATTTAAGACAGTGAACCTTCAAGGAACGTTCTTTCTTCTCGGAAGAGAAGCAATTGTGGATCCGGGAGAAGAAAAAAAAAGATGGAAAGGGGGGGTCCGGAAGTGCCAAGATCTTAATTTTGGAATTTTAATGTATGCAGTAAAGAGGAGGATTCATCAAGTCCTCCCAAAGCTGACCTTCTCCGTCGTAAATATTCTAGATCTGCCATTGAAAGGAACTCGCATAGTTTTCATATATTATCAATACTGCCACAGGGGTTTGTAAGGTTCATACTGCGAGAGGTCAAGTGGCGTATTGCTGTCGAACTTTTAATGTTGTCTATGTCCTGCACGTACCTAATACTCATGCAAATCAGATATTATGCCGTTTGTCCTCATTGATATGATGCTGCGTTAGGTGAATAGACTTAGTGAATAAGACATTTTATTGAAACGAAAATTGACATTTTCTGCCGCACATCATTCGTGATCTTGCCAATCACGATTTGAGAGACTCGCCTTTTTGCGTACACATTTCATTAGGAGCGAAAGCCATCTCTGATTTCCAAACAATTTTAATCAAGTTACCGTCTGAAGGGTTTGTCCCGTAAATTTGAAACCATGAGATTCTGCGTATTATTCTTACCTAGCGTTGTAAAGAAAGCCACTTTGTTTCGTATCACATTTTGCAAATGAAAAGGATGAAGACGTTGAGAGATAATCTGTAGCTTCATCTAGAGTGAATGCTCTATATATCCTATAACCTTATTGACATAAAGGTGCCTGTTGCTATCTGGGATTACGATGGTGTGTAATATATACCTACTTGCTGAAATAGGTCTTAATTTTGGGAGGCATCATATAACACAAGGTGGGCCGGGGTGGTTATAAAAAATACATCGGTACAGTTTTTCACGACAGTCATCATAGATGCCTGATCACGCACACTGACAAGTACCATGGATTTACGCCACGTGGTCAAAGTGGAGCAAGAAAGCAACGCTCAGGAAATATGCTGCAAATCTATAGATAAGTTGTAAGTTTTCCACTTCTTAATTTGATTTTCCCACATACTGAAGATCTTTTTTGGTTATTTCTATTCATATACCACCGAACACCCGATTAATAACTGAAAACGCTGTGAGCGTCCATTTCCATTTGCGGACGACCTTCTGCGGCCATAAAAGGGAACCTATATACGTGGGCGGAGCTAATGCAGACGTGTTACTGCGGCGTCACGTATAGTCCGGCATAGCCTGGCCATAACTTGACAGCGCTTGTTGTTTCATAGAACAGATACGAAATAAACATCGCTTCTACGTGCTTCAAAATAGCAGAAAAGTAAAAAAAAGGAGTATTCAAACTGATGTAAAGAAATAAGTAACTGCGATAGGAAGAAAAAGAAATAAAAAAGACAAACTTTCTATGGTGGTTACCCGTATCTTTCTATTCTAGTAAACATGTACCAAGTAGAACGGCAAATGTATTAGTAAGTTATCTAACCCTTTTGTCTTAATCAGATGTTTTAAATAAAATGATTGTTGTGTCTTCGCAAACCAACGTGGATGAGAATGTGGGCCTATTTGCTGGAGTGCCTCTTTATTGTGCGCACATAAAGAGGTAAATAAATGCCGCCCCCAAAACGACAATGGGAAACCACCGGCCGCATTACACACTATCTTTATATAGATGACGTTTTAGGTGACGTCAGCCTAAGAAGAGTAGACCTACATGCATGGACGCTTAGAAGCAAAGCCTCAATAATTGTTCATTTACGTCTATTCTTTTTACGCTGACGTCACCTAAAACGTCACCTATAGTTAGTGCGTGTGGCTGTCGGTGGTTTCGCATTGTCGTTTTATGGGCGATCTTTTCACAATAAGCGACCTTTCACAGCAGAAAGTTGGCCACCAGTATGGTATAGTCATCAGACATACCCAACACCACCGTCTTCACAGGTGGTGACGCTGCTGTCCCGTTTTTCTGCACCGGTAACGGCTCCGCTGAAGTCGCAAGCAGGGCAGGCGCTGAAGCGGGAGCTTTCGGATCAAGTTTTTCGGTAGGCTCTTTTTCAGTGTCGGGAGCTTTTTCGTGCTGAGGCTTGCTCGTGGGTTCGGGTGCCTTAACACCCTCAGTGTCCATCGAACTTGCCTTCGCCTCCTGAGTAGAACTAGGCCCGCTAATCTCCACAGCTTCAGCACTCTTCTCGTCTGGCATCTTTTCCCCTGGAGTATTTGGCGTTTGTACCTTAGAATCAGGCACAAGTGTTTCGTTTGCTTTCACTTTGAAACCCCCTGGCCCGCCATCTTCGTGCTTCACCTGGGATCCTTTGCTCGACGATGCCAGCTCTTCTGGTGGATGGTGCCCCACACCTGCCGTCCCACCATGTTGCATCGAGCTGGCTGTCGTGGCCATTTTAGACGACTCAGATGCCTTACCACTCTTCGAGCTTGATTTTCTTTTCGATTTCTTTTTCTTGCCCTTGGGGCCTCTAAGCTTGTTGTATATTTTGCGAAACACACTTTTCCGCTTGCCACCCGAACTCTTCCCACCTTTCTTGCGAGACTTAGAAGTCTTGGACTTTCTCGTACTGCTGCGGTCATCGCTTTTCGACGCTGTTTTTTCCTGGCGCGCTTTGGATTTCTTCGAGGCTGCCTTGGCCTTGGAGGGTGCCCCTACGCCGCCACGTTGTTTGTCTCCGCGTTTCTTTGCCGCACGCTCCTTCTTTTTCTCCGACCTGATGGCTTTCGAAGCCGACGAATCTTTTGACTTGCTTCGTTTGGATGACTTTGTGCGCTTCTTCCCGTCTTCCTTCGTTTTTGGAAGTTTTTTGTCCTTCTTCACCTTCATAACATTGTCTTCTGTCGAGCTCATCGTGTTGCCATTCACGCCTGTATGAAGGCTGGCGTCTGCTATCTGACGAAATTTACAGTCAACTCCTGAGTTGCTGGCTTTTTTCTAGTCCGATGCCTCTTCACCTTGAAAAAATAAAAAATATCGCGTATAATTGGCCATGCTTGTTATTGCGTCAAGGTTTATTCGAAATATAAAACTAAATGCTCCCACAATTTGGAGAACACGCATAATAAACATTTCACTAGGGTGTGTATCACTCCATATGTTGACCAGTATGCTGTACATTTGGGATGTCTCCTTGATTTTATTGTCATTGTCTTTTACGAGAAAATCAGTACCAGGGGAAGGAGTTCCGCTCGAACATGCGCGTTCGGCATTTATGGAACGTTAACCTAATTTCACTTGACGTTTTAATCGATTCATTTCAGTTAGTATGCGCAAGATAAAATAAATCACGACCGATTGTTTGTAATCAGAAAGTTCTCATTCCAAAGAATTCATGCTTCGAAACGAGTTAATTTTAATACTAGACCCGTGCCATGAAGCATATTGACATTCTTAAAAGACCCCTCCCAATCTTGTTTCTATTAAATCTATCATCCTGACCTTGCAACTGTTGAACAAAATATATGCACACTGAAGGCACGCACAAGTTTAGTCAATTGGAAAAGAAGCTTAACTGAAAGGAGATCGATTGCCCTGTACGAGCAAGGTATAATACCGGCCCTCATCATTAAACGTCAATAGGCTATATTTAAGCGATTCCAGAAACCACCGAGGGTGCGCGAAGCACTATAGGAAAAATGTGTACGTTGCGCGCGCCAGCTGTTTAGTTGCCCACTCCTAGTTAGCGCCGTGGGACCATCCAACAATCACAAAAGAACAAAAAAACATGGTTGATCTCTTTGTAATATGAATCGATATAACACGAAAGTAAAACATCTCCTTACAGAAGTAGTCAAGTAACAACGTCTGGCGGTGTGGACAGGTAAAGCACCGTTTAACGTAATTGCATCCACGTTGATGCTTAGTGATACATCTTCATTCCGACGACTGACGTCCATGTTTAATGATTGTTTAATGATTGAGCATGCCCCTGTGGTCATTGATGCCAGTGGTTGTTTGTATCAGTTAACGGTAAAAAAAGAACCAAAGAAAGGGGTGTGACAGCCACAGGAGCATGATTGATTGTACGCCGAACTTGGGTCGCCTACTCGCAGCATGAACGCCACTGCCCTTATAGAGGGAAACGCAAGGCGCGTTAGGTCGTCCCTGGTGAGCTTAGGAACGCCGAGTTACATCGAGGCGAACCAGGTGCGTTGCTGTATACGTTGCAGAACTAATTTAAATGCGAATACATTTCTTATGACTAATTCTACTGGTAGATCCGGAGTGGCCGCAGAAATCCTGGAGCGAGCACTCAGATTGCGCCAAACCAGTTCTGCGAGTGGAACATGTGAATGCCCCGCCTGAGGTAACTCGGGAAGTTGCTTACGCATACGTCGCTTAACCAGCACACAAAGTGATTTTATTTTCCGCTCTCTGCGTTTCAAGGACAACTGTGTCGCCACTGCAATGCACGCATTTCGACTACACAGTCGCGGATAGCAGGGGTACCACTTTCCAATTTTAGGAATGTAAACAAGTGCACAGGGTTACTAGACCGCCTCAAAAAACGCTGAAGGCCACCTAGCTGCCCGTGTCCAACTGTACCGTAAAGGACGGCAACGCTTTTCTGGAGTTCTGGCGAAATCCGTTTCTGCAAGACGGAGCACGTGGAAAGCTCCATCGCGGAGTGGGTTGCTCTGAATCTATCAGTAGAAAATGTGAACTTGCTCCGAGTCTACCAGCGGAACGCGGATTCTAAGGCGCGGAGGAAAAATTACGGCATATTCACAGGGTGAATGATGATGAATGGGCGAAGCTCCGGGGGGATTCATCGGTAGACTGTGAATCTTCCGTGTAATTCGCCCAGTCGATCATCATGTAAAGACGTGAGAAACGCTGTGTGTGTATATACACAAATCAACTTTTATTTGTTCTTAGACGATGGATGGCTTGCGATGTCCCTTCATTTAACGGCTTTATGGTCTGTGCCTTGCGCTCTCTCCGCTGTGCAGCCTTATCCATCCGGCGACTCCGAGCGCGCGCCAACAGCGAACGGATTTTATTACAACGCTCCCCCTAGCGTACGTCGCCGCACTAAATCGAACGATTGCCTTCAACCAATGTCACGCGCCATATGTGACATCATTCCTATTTTATAAGATCTCGCGTCTTTCATCAACTACAAGTACCGCTTTCTAGTTTATAACATCTTGCATCTTTTCATCATCAGCTACAAGTACCACCATCTAGTGAACACTACAAGAACTAAACGAGAGGTGGCTACATACAGGAGACGGTACCGCCATCTAGTGAACACTGCAAGAACTAAACTAGAGGTGGCTACATACAGGGGACGGTACCGCTATCTAGTGAACACTGCAAGAACTAAACTAGAGGTGGCTACATACAGGCTACAGGGGACGCACAGCCCACGCCCGAAGGAGCTTCGCCCCTAAAAAACTTGCTCACGCTTGATGAGTGGAATTCGCTTTTAGTCGGGCTATATCAGGCGTCCATTGGGATCCGTCCACCGCCCTCTCCCATCACAACAGCTGCGAGCGCGGGCGCTTATCCTCGCCCCTAGCAACTGGAGAATTTGATGCAAGAAAGTGTAGGAGAAGGTAGGTGCAGTGCTTCACCTCTCCTTCTCTCACCGTTCACTCCTTCTCATCTCTGCGCCCCACTTTCCTGTCCTCTCGCGCCCCACTCTCGACTATGGAGGAAGGAAAGATAGAAGAGGCTCTGATGTTCCTCGTTTTGAAGCCGCAATGAAGCCGGAAGGCTGCCATATCGACCGGGGAAATTCTCCTCTCTTGTTTACATATGAATGCGAAGCAAAAGACGCGACTCCCTCTCCGACTCGGAAAGCACGTGGGCTGCACAGCGCGCGTCTCGTGACGATCCGTAATTAATGGAATGGGGCTCAACACTCTGGACCGGCGTGACACCTTCGGCGAAATCATTTCGTCCAAGTATTACTAGCGAGTAACGGCTCGCTAGAACAGGCTACTCAACAATTGACCACATTCATACTATCAATCAGGTAATAGAGAAATGCTCAGAGTATAACCAACCACTATACATAGCCTTCATAGATTACGAGAAGGCGTTTGATTCAGTAGAAATATCAGCCGTCATGCAAACACTGCGGAATCAGGGCGTAGATGAAGTATATATAAACATTCTGGAAGAAATCTACAGGGGATCAACTGCTACCATAGTGCTTCATAGAGAAAGCAACAGAATACCAATCAAGAAGGGTGTAAGGCAGGGGGACACAATTTCCCCAATGCTGTTTACCGCGTGCTTACAGGAGGTTTTCAGAAGCCTAGAATGGGAACAGTTAGGGATAAGAGTCAATGGAGAATACCTTAGTAACCTGCGCTTCGCCGATGACATTGCATTGCTGAGTAACTCGGGGGACGAATTGCAACTCATGATTACGGAGTTAGACAAGAAGAGCAGAAAAGTGGGTCTTAAAATTAATCTGCAGAAAACGAAAGTAATGTACAACAACCTCGGCAAAGAGCAGCGCTTCGAGATAGGTAATAGTGCACTTGAAGTTGTAAAAGACTATGTCTACTTAGGGCAGGTAATAACCGCAGAGCCGAACCACGAGATTGAAGTAACTAGAAGAATAAGAATGGGGTGGAGCACATTCGGCAAGCACTCTCAAATTATGACAGGTAGATGGCCACTATCCCTCAAGAGGAAGGTATATAACAGCTGTATCTTGCCGGTACTTAGCTACGGAGCAGAAACCTGGAGACTTACAAAGAGGGTTCAGCTTAAATTGAGGACGACGCAGCGAGCAATGGAAAGAAAAATGGTAGGTGTAACCTTAAGAGACAAGAAGAGAGCAGAGTGGATTAGGGAACAAACGGGGGTTAAGGATATCATAGCTGAAATCAAGAAGAAGAAATGGACATGGGCAGGGCATGTAGCGCGTAGACAGGATAACCGCTGGTCATTAAGGGTAACTGACTGGATTCCCAGAGAAGGGAAGCGGGTTAGGGGGAGACAGAAGGTTAGGTGGGCAGATGAGATTAAGAAGTTTGCGGGTATAAATTGGAAGCAGCAAGCACAGGACCGGGTTAACTGGCGGAACATGGGAGAGGCCTTTGTCCTGCAGTGGACGTATTCAGGCTGATGATGATGATGATGATGAACGGCTCGCCGCCAAAGAAACAAGTACAAAAAAACGCGCGCTAGATGCACTGACAACAACTGTTTTAACGTCATTAATTCAGCAACTGTACAGACAGCACGATCGGTCGTGCGCCTTCTACGGTTGCATTCCGCCACGCGGCCGACGGAGCGTCTGGCCACTGTGTTCATGTTCCGCGTGAAACTCACCGGCGTCATCATTCTGTGACCATTGTAACTGACACCTAACGCGGTTGCTCTAAAATTGAGATTACAATGTTGGGGGCGAGTATAAAGAGCGGTACAGAAATGGCCTTTTATTACGCACATGCAAGTTGTTACAGTACACATTCCTACCACGAAACTACGTATGTGCCCATGCTCCTCATTGCGTCTTGCTGGGCACAACAGTTTCGTCCGTTGCCACAAGCAGGAGCACTGGCCAACCACCACTGACCTGCAAGGCGTTCGCCGTCGTTCCGCTTCGTCATGGTGTCCAACGCAATTTCGCTGAACACTTCAAATGCTTTATCCACGTCATCCGCCGCACGACACATGGATATGCGCTCGTTCTACGCACTGCTTAGGCCCCGTGGTGGACGAAAGGTTTCGTAAACGTTCCTAAGAGTATAGTAACTGCTATGAGAACACTGCGTAACAAATAAGGCGGCGCAGAGCACGGATATTGTCCGCCACGGCTCAGCACGAGACCTGGGGAGGCACACATGCCGCCGCCAGCCTCGGCCGTTCACTGCTAGACCAGC